GATATAGAATTCGGTCGGTAATACAAACGTCTTTAGGATCCCCTTAACACAATCATATATGTAAATATTGATTTACTATATACATATATTGATATTAAGTATATATATTTTTATTTTTATTATATATATATATATAATAAAAAAATTAAAAATATATAATTAATATCAATATATCGTTAAATTGTAATAGGTCTTGCTCAATTTTTGCACCAATTTATCATTAGACATCAGCACTGCGCAGACCTTGCGCGTATTTTGTAGTATATTTGCCCGTATATTGCCGCCAAAGTGTCGTCAGGCAGCGCTACACCAGATTTTTCTCGATTTTTGCCGCCAATTTATTGTTAGAGTGCTCAACGCAAATTTTGCTCAATTTTTGCTGCCAATTTGTTGTCGGCCGGGTTACATGGCCACATTTGCTTACATTTTGTTGGCAATTTGCTATCTAATTATGTTAGCAGATTTTGTTACATATTTGCTAGCATTTTGTCGACATTATTTGTTAAATCAAATTCTGTATTAAATTTGTATCCTTCTTGTCAACATTTGTAGCAAGATTTTACAAAATCTGTTTTCGACAGACTTGGCTATCTGGGTATGTCTCCGTGTATTATTTTATGCAGTATTAATATCATACTTCGGCAATTTATATAACAAATTAGCTGTATGTATGCCCTGCACAGTAATCATGTATTTAACGATATACAAACACGAATATAGTAATTATTTACGATCGCACAACTACGTTACAAACGACAAAATTGTAAAAGAAATTTAAATGCAACATTTATTTTATTATTTAAAACACTTTATTTGACATATAAGGAATATATAGGACATATAGATCTCAAATATTTTGTCATCTTTCAACAAAGACATCATCGTCCTGTTAGTATCCTTCCGAATTCTGAGTATATGTTTAAGGGTACATTTTTAGTATGTTCATATACCCATAACTTCTTTTCCAAACGATTTAGAAGGTCTAATTGTCCTAATCGACATGCTGTATCACGTTCCCATCTTATTATGACGAGTGCTTCTTTACTAGATCGTTCAGCAACAGCCTCTAAAGCAATGGATGTCAATTCCTTGATATTCTTGTTTTGCACGGTATTGTTCTTGTTTAATGCCTTCAGTAGTTCCATTATGTCTGTTTCGATGAGTTTTGCAGCAACGTCTTCCATACTTCTTATCATACTTAGCACAAATATAATACCCATTTCCTGTATTTTACTGCTTGGATTAGTGAGTAAAAAGCGTAGGAATTCCAGCCAGAAATTCGAGTCAAAAACTTTCTTACAAGCGTCTTTGTTGGCCACCGTCAGCTTCACTAGAGCTGCTGCTGCTGCGAACTTAATATCTTGATTCTCGTCCTTGTACAATAACATAAGATAATCAACTCGAGAATTATCCTGCTCGAAACACTGGATAGCGACTTCACGGCTTAATATCAAAATGTTTATAAGATTTGCAGATGCCAATTTCAAAAGATAGTCTCCCTCGTACACAAAAGCTTCAATTTTCTGAAATACTCCTTCTTTGAATATATATTCTCGCATGCTGTCGTTGACGTCAGCTAGATTGCACAAAGCTGTTAGAGACTGGCAATTCTCATTAACGGAACACTCCGGGTTCAGAAGATTTACGATCGGTTGAACAACCTTCGTGATTAATTGACCAGGAAATATAACCTCGGGACATTTCGTGAGTGCCAAACAGACCAGGGCTAGCGAAGCCTGCTTCTTTCCCTTGACTGTGCCATCCAGCGCCAACGACAACAATGCCTCCGTGCCGCCTTCATCAACAACCATTTCTCTCAATGTCTGTTCACTGCATATCGCGTTGAAAACGCGCGCTATCAATTCCTTGCAGTTCTGATTGTCCGTTTTGGCGACGTCCACCAGATCGCTGATCACACCGGCCTTTGCTAATGCGCACAATCTTTCTTCGAAGTTGTCGTCATCCAGTTCAGATTCCTCGGGAAAATGATATTTGACAAACTTTGTCAATTCTATCATCTTGGGTTCTTGCTCGTCATAAGCGTTGCACAAGTTCACCAACGTCGTAAGCATGCCGAAGAGAACAGACTGATCAGCAGTCTCGGCAATCTCGATCATCGTAAAAATGGCTTCTAGATCCTCGATCAACTCCTCTTTGACTTTAGCATTGAAAGTGAGATACGACAGACCTTTTACGGCCCACTCTTTCATATTCTTTTCTTTCTTTGGATTAGTCAACAATCGTCTGCAAGCCTCAGCCAATTTCTTGGCCGCTCCATCCGCGAACGGTCTGATAGTCACGTCTGAGTCTCCGGAACTACCCATCTCGCAAAATCGCACTAACGCTCGAACCCGAACTAAATCATCCTTGGATTGACATAGCTTTTTCAATACATCTACACCCTGATTTACAATCGCGCGGGCTTTGTCTTTTTTGGTCATAGCGGCAACGATACATTCGAGAGCTACTTTCTGTTGCAATACATCATCCGTTCCTGCCATAACGAGGATCATTTCTAAAATCCCTCCTTTAGCCACAACTGTGTTTCCAACCTCCAATGGGCCCAATAATAAAACTGTTATCGCAACTACTACACGTACCTGTAAAACAATAGATTAACAAGTCATTAATTTTTACGTTTCGTGAAACAATATTGATTTAAAATCAAGGAAGCTACAGTATTATTTAATTTTGATAGAAAATAGCAGAAATTTCTAGTAAATTACGCTTCAGAAAATGCTACAGATGTCAAAGTCATATTCTTCAATTCGATTATTCTGTTATAACCATATTTTAATTTAAAACTTACAGACTATATGCAATATCGACAACCGAAAAGGAGATTTTCTTTGACATTTTTGCTTTAAAACTAGAGTTTAAATGCTCAAATCGGCTATAGTTAAAAAGATCGCTAAGAAAAGATCGAAAGTTGCAAAATTCATACTTTAGATTCTATGTCTGGCGAATGCAATTTATCTTCAATAAATTCATCAACGGCGTTGATAAATGTTTTCTTATCATCATAGTACACGTTTTCATATATTTTTGCTAAGCACGCACTGATTATAGTTTGCGTGGAAGATGTGATGTCCAGCAAAGATTCAGAATAGTATTCCTCCATTTCACTGGCTACCTCCATCAATCTTTGCACACCGCGAAGTTCGATAAATCGGTTGGCCCAACCTAACGTAGTTACACAATGAATATTACTCATAATAAGTTTTATTATTGCGTCTCTAGCAAGGCCTTTTAACGTCCTACTCGTTATACTGTACGACAAGCACAACATAATCGTGTCTATTTCCCTTTGCGCCTCGCACAAATCCTCATTGGGATTTGAATCGGGTTTATTATTCATGTCGATGTAAGTGTTCAATATATTCTAAATCAAAATATGTACAATAAATTTTTAATTACTGAAATACGTGTAAAATAAAACTACATGTATTTTACTCGATATTTACCTGTAAACAATATTGAGACGCGTTAACTCTCTTTATAGACGTGCTATTTATCATTTCCAGACACCAAGGCAAACCAACGTATTTCATAACGGACTCGGTTCGAGTAAGATTTTTTTCGCATAACACGCCTACAATACGAATCGCGCTACAGATCACTTCCTCGTTCTTTTCCACTTTCACAAGTTGTGCGATTTTTGATACACCTTCCTTTTTGAAGATTTCCGCGGCACCAGTTTCGTCACGTGCGAGCACAAGCAAATCATTCATAGCGATTTCACGTTCCTTTTCATTTGCGTTCACGTCAAATGCTAGATCCAGCATTTCTGATACCTAATATAAAGCAAAATTAAACATATACTTAAATATAATAATCTGCAATAACTGTGACATTATATTCGTATGATGTAATTTTTACCCGTATAGTATGCAGACTATTAATTAACAAGAACTAATAATTATATAATAAAAGACAAAAACTCATATCCATTTGTCAAATTTTGTGTGATATTGAAACAAAAACTTACTGATACTTACATGAAGAATGTATTGCATTTTTATTCTCTTATCTAGATTAAATTATCATGTCTTGCAAGTTGACAAACTTGTAATAGTTACGTATATTTACCTTGGCACTAATATGTGACTTTTCCTTACGACGTTCTTGTACAATTTCACGTAAGTGCTCCACTACGCGTTGAAAATCTTCGTTATTAGGATTTAATGAAATAATAATCTCTGCATCCTGATATGCCTCCTCGAATCTTCCTAACGCTTCTAGTGCTTTACATCTTCGATACAATGCTTTGTTACAGCATATCTTTAACGCACTATTGCAGTCATCAATAACTTTCTCGTAATCGCTCAGCTGTAAATAAATACCAGCTCGATTTCTGTAGTACATTCCTTTGTATGTTTTGTTCTCTTCTAGTTTCAGTGCGTTTGTGTAGTGACTTAATGCTTCTGACAAATTGCCTTTCCTAGACTCTTCGTAACCCTTAGCGTACCATTGCAGTGCACTCATATGTGACTCTGTCATGGTGGAATAACTCTGCAACACAAATTATATGATGTTACATTATATGTTTTAACGTAGAAAGAGTCTGACATTTATAATACCATATCTCTTGATGATACATGTATTATCTTAAATATAAAAAGCACAGTTATTACTAAATAATTATATGCATGTATGAGACAATAGGCCTGTTGATTTTAGCTGAACTACTTGCACAGTTCAGCTAAAACGAACAGGCCTAATACATGCATAATGGATCAAAAATATATGCACAGTTCAATAATAGCAATGCAACTTCTAGTGTGAGACATGCATGTAAATTAGTGTAATAAATTGTTGCAATGATTTTTATATTATAAAGTTGACTTTCGTTGAACATTGGAAAACAGACGTTAATCATTGAAGTCATCATTCAGCGTTCGTTCTCAGAATTTCCAGAAGCCGCTTGTGCATATTATACAGTGTGGAACTATCCAGATGACTTATGATGCTACATGCAAATATTTGATTTCATTTTAACGTGAAAGATGCAATTATATACGCTTCGTTGCAAGAAGCAATTTACACCCCTCCCTTTTTTGCGTCGGAAATTCAACTTTCCAACGAAAGAGAGTCTGGGAAAGGCGAGTGATTCATCTGAGACGTGCGATAAATTTTAACTTGCGCGAGGATGAATATCATTCCATCGATATTTTCTCTTACATAAAAGTACTTAACCCTTCGCAGAACACGTGGGGTTTTCAAGACCCACTCGATATTTCAAATTCGACGATTTCAAATTTTACGGAGATTTTAATTGGGCATAAAAGACCCAGGTATTCGACGATAGTAGCAGAATTGTTCTGCGAAGGGTTAAGGTACCATCAATCGAGTATTTGTTTTTCAATTTTTAATACATCTCGAGTTCTTTGTTCGTTTCTTGAGTTATTAATGACCTCGTGTGCTCTCTCGTGTGATTTTTTTCCCGATTATTATTACTAACGTATCCCGTATAACTTTTAACAGCCTTTGTTACATTGGATCTTCGTTTAGACTGTCTGCAAAACAAAACAGAATGTAAATTCTTTACCTGTCGGATAGTTTCCTCTTCGTAACGTTCGTTCGTGCTGCTCAAACCTTAACTTTCTCTACTTTTCAATTGATCAACCTTTCAACAGTTTCAACGAGTGCAACTAAATAAACCGGCAAGCATTAATGTTAGATTAGATTGAGGGACACTACTGAGAAGTGAGAGCGCGGATCGCGGCTTACAACTTAACAAATGAGGTACGACGCTGCATGTCACGTGACTACGTGACTTCCAAAAGCGCGGGCTCGGCCTAGTGATATATGTACGTCTCCGTATATATGTATTATTTCATGCTATATATGCATGTTAATATTCTACTTTGACAAATTTATGTAACAAATAAATTAACTGTATGTAATATGTCTTGCACAGTAAACATATATTTCAAGATATATAAACACAAATATAATTACATGATCGCATGACTACGTTTCAAACGACAAAATTGCAAAAATATAAATGTAACATTTAGTTTATTATTTAAAGCGCTTTATTTGAAATATAAGGAATATATAGGGCACGCAAATTTCGAATAATTTGTCCTTTTTCAACAAAGATTCGTCCTGTTAGTATCCTTCCGAATTCTGAGTATATGTTTAAGGGTACAAGGTTTTTAGTATGTTCATATACCCATAACTTTATTTCCAGACGATTTAGAAGGTCTAATTTCCCTAATCGACGTGCTGTATCACGTTCCCATCTTATTATGATGAGTGCTTCTTTACTAGATCGTTCCGCAACAGCCTCTAAAGCAATGGATGTCAATTCCTTGATATTCTCGTTCTGCACGGTACTGTTCTTGTTTCTTAATGTTCTCAGTAGTTCCATTATTATGCCTGTTTCGAGTTTTGCAGCAACATCTTCCACGCTTCTTATCATACTTAGCACAAATATAACACCCATTTCTTGTATATTATTGCTGGGATTGGTGAGTAAAGAGCGTAGGAATTCCAGCCAGAAATTCGAGTCGAAAACTTTCTTGCAAGCCTCTTTGTTGGCCACCGTCAGCTTCACTAGAGCTGCAGCTGCTGCAAACTTAATATCTTGATTCTCGTCCTTGTACAATAACATAAGATACTCAACTCGAGAATTATCTTGCTCGAAATATTGAATAGCGACTTCACGGCTTAATAACAAAATGTTTATAAGATTTGCAGACGCCAATCTCAAAAGATAATCCCTCTCGTACCTAAAGGCTTCAATCTTCTGAAATATTCCTTCTTTGGATATATGTTCTCGCACGCTGTCGTTGACTTCAGCTAGATTGCACAAAGCTGTTAGAGTCTGGCAATTCTCATTAACGGAACACTCCGGGTACAGAAGACTTACGATCGGTTGAACAACCTCCGTGATTAGTTGACCGCGAATTATAACCTCAGGACGTTTCGTGAGGTTCCGTGCCAAACGGACCAAAGCTAGCGAAGCTTGCTTCTTTCCCTCGACTGTGCCATCCAGCGCTAACGACAACAATGCCTCCGTGCCGCCTTCATCAACAACCATTTCTCTCAATGTCTGTTCACTGCAAATCGCGTTGAAAACGCGTGCTATCAATTCCTTGCAGTTCTGATTGTCCGTTTTAGCGACGTCCACCAGATCGCTGATCACACCGGCCTTTGCTAATGCGCACAATCTTTCTACGGAGTTGTCCAGTCGTCGTCCAGTTCAGGTTCCTCGAGAAAATAATATTTGACAAACTTTGTCAATTCTATCATCTCGTGTTCTTGCTCATCGTCATAAGCGTTACACAAGTTCACCAACGTCGTAAGCACGCCGAAGAGAACCGATCGATCACCAGTCTTGGCGATCTCAATCATCGTATGAATGGCTCTTTTATCCTTGATCAACTCCTGTTTGACTCCGGTGTTGAAAGTCAGATACGACAGACCTTTTATGGCCCATTCTCTCTTTTCTTTCTTTGGATTAATCAACAATCGTCTGCAAGCCTCTGCCAATTCCTTGGTTACTCCGTCCGCGAACGGTCTGATAGTCACATCTGAGTCTCCGGAACTACCCATCTCGCAAAATCGCACTAACGCTCGAACCCGAACTAAATCATCCTTGGATTGACATAGCTTTTTCAATACATCTACACCCTGATTTACAATCGCGCAGGCTTTGTCTTTTTTGGTCATAGCGGCAACGATACATTCGAGAGCTACTTTCTGTTGCAATACATCATCCGTTCCTGCCATAACGAGGATCATTTCTAAAATCCCTCCTTTAGCCACAACTGTGTTTCCAACCTCCAACGGGCCCAATAATAAAACTGTTATCGCAACTACTACACGTACCTGTAAAACAATAGATTAACAAGTCATTAATTTTTACGTTTCGTGAAACAATACTGATTTAAAATCAAGGAAGCTACAGTGTTATTTAACTTTGATAGAAAATAGACATTTTTGATAAATTACGCTTCAGAAAATACTAAATGACAAAGTCATATTCTTCAATAAATTTCGATTACTCTGTTATAACCATATTTTAATTTAAAACTTACAGAATATATACAAACATCGACAACTGAAAAAGAACTGAAAAGTCTTCTTTGACACTTTTATTTAAAAAAAAGATAGTTTAAGGTGGTTCGATGGCTACAACAAAACGCAGAGAATTTCATGAAATTTTAATATGTTGTTCTGCAATGCAAAATAGAATTATGTAAATTTTTTGGGAATTTTTCACCGTCCCGTTTTGAAAAAAATCTACTCCAAAAACCTAAAAAGTACAATTTTAGGAGTAGATTTATTTCAAAACGGGACGGTGAAAAATTCCCAAAAAATTCACATAATTCTATTTTGCATTCCAGAACAACATATTAAAATTGCATGAAACTGGCTGCATTTTTAACATAGGTTCTTATGGTTTTTATGGGAAATGACATATTGCATATACCTTCAGAATGAAATAAGTGCAAGAAAAAATGCAAATGATAAAGAAAAAGAAATTTGCACATGTAACTTAATAATTTACAAATAAATGAGCGAAAGAAAGGGAAAGGTTACCGCACATTTCGTAGAAAAATTAATTATTAAAGCATAAATTGCTTGATTTTTTGTCTGCATAGACTGTCATGGTCGTGAACGACGTGCAACAGCAGCACGCATTATACACGCGGCGACCAATCAGAGCAATCCCCTTCATTCCCACTACTTCAAACGCTAGTGCGCTGTTTCCAGAACCCCCGCGTCCCACTACTCCCTCCGATGAAGCCATCGAACCTCCTTAAATTGCTCAAATCGGCTATAGTTAAAAAGACTCGGCCTTTCATTTTCAAACAATTTAAATGACAAGAAAAGATCGAAAGTTGCAAAATTCATACTTTAGATTCTATGTCAGGCGAATGCAATTTATCTTCAATAAATTCATCAATGGCGTTGATAAATGTTTTCTTATCATCATAGTACACGTTTTCATATATTTTTGCTAAGCACACACTAGTTATAGTTTGCGTGGAGGATGTGATGTTCATCGAGAATTTGTATTTGTATTCCTCCGTTTCACTGGCTACCTCCATCAATCTTTGCACACCGCGAAGTTCGACAAATCGTTTGGCCCAATCTAACTTAGTTACGCAATGAATGTTATGCATAATAAGTTCTATTATTGCGTCTCTAGCAAGGCCTGTTAACGTTATACTCGTTATACTGTACGACAAACACAACAGAATGGTGTCTATTTCCTTCTTATGCGCCGCGCACAAAGCCTCGTCGGGTTTTGAATAGAGTTTATTAGTCACACCGCTGTAAGTGTTCAATATATTCTGAAATCGAAATATGCAATAAATTTTTAATTACTGAAATATATGTAAATACATTTATTTTACTCGATCTTTACCTGTAAACAATATTGAGACGCATTAACTCTCTGTATAGATGTGCTGTTCATTATTTCCAGGAACCGAGGCAAACCGACGGATTTCATAACAGACTCGGTTCGACTAATATTGTTTTTGCATAACTCGCCCACAATACGAATCGCGCTACAGATTACTTCCTCGTTCGTGTCCACTTTCACAAGTTGTGCGATTTTCAATACACCTTCCTTTTTGAAGATCTCCTCGACACCAGCTTCGTCACGTGTGAGCACAAGCAAATTATTCATAGCGACTTCACGTCCCTTCTCACTTACGTTCACGTCAAATGCTTGATCCAGCAAATTTGATACCTAATACAAAACAAAATTAAGCGTATACTTAAATATAATGATCTGCAATAAAAATTTAAATAACTGTAACAACTAACATTATATTTGTATGATGTAATTTTTACCCGTAGTGTGCAGACTATTATTTAACAAGAATTAATAATTATATAATAAAAGACAAAAACTCAAATCCATTTGTCAAATTATGTGTGATATTGAAACAAAAACTCTTACTAATACTCAAATCCAGTATGAAATATATATTTCATTTTTATTCTCTTATCTAGATTAAATTACCATGTCTTGCGAGTTGACGAACTTTTATAACAGTTACGTATATTTACCTTGGCACTAATTTTTATATCTTTATTGCGACGATCTTGTACAATTTCACGTAAGCGCGTCGCTACGGGCTGAATAACTTTGTTATTGGGATCACATGAAATAATGATCTCCGCGTCCCGAAATGCCTCCTCGAATTTGTCTAACGCTATTAGTGCTTGATATCTGTGATACAGTATTTTGTTACAACATATTATTAACGCATTGTTGCAGTCTTCAACCACTTTCTCGTAATTGCCCAGCTTTAAATAAGTAGCAATTCGATTTCCATAGTACATTCTTTTGTCATGATCGTTCTCTTCTACATTCAGTGCGTTTGTGTAGTGACTTAATGCTTCAGACCAATTGCCTTTTTCAAACTCTTCATTACCCTTCTCGTTCCATTCCTTTGCACTCACAACTGACTTCGCCATGGTGGAATAACTGTACAACCCAAATTATATGATGTTACATTATATGTTTTAACATAGAAAGACTCTGACATTTCATATCGTGTCTTTTATTTATATATGTATTATCTTAAACGCAAAAAGCATAGAAGATGAAATTATTACTAAAGAATTATATGCATGAGACAATAAATATATATGTATAATGGATAAAGAATAAACGCACAGTTTAATAATAACAATACAATTTCAAGTGTGTAATCTGCATGTAAATTGTAATCAATTGTTGCAATAATTTCTATATCAGAAAGTTGACTTTCGTCAAACATTGGCAAACAACACAGAAGAAGTCAATCATTTAAAGTAATTATTTAGTGTTCGTTCTCAGAATCTCCAGAAGCTGTTTGTGCATATTAGACAATGTGAAACTATCCAGACAACTTATGACGCTGTATGCAAATATAGAGATGCAATTATGTACGCTATGCTGGAAGAGTCAGGAACAATTTACATTTCCTCCCTTTTTTACGTCGGAAATTTAACTTCTTCGACGAAAGAAAGTCTAAGAAAGGCGAGCGAATTACCTGAAACGCGCGATAAAGCGTGAGGATGAATCTCATTCCTTCGACATTTTTTCTTACGTAAAAAAATAATACCGTCAACCGAGTATTTGTTTTTCAGTTTTTAATGCATCTAGACTTCTTTGTTCATTTCTTGAATTATTAATAACCTCGTGTGCTCTCGTGTGGTTTCTTTTCCCGATTATTACTAACGTATCTCACATCATTTTCAACAGCCTTTGTTATATTTGTTACGTGCGAACAAAATTTTAGTCTTTTAATAACCAAGAGTGCTAATTGATATTAAAATCTTTAAATAGCCAAGAATGCTAATCGATATTGATTAATTATCCGATTTTTCATGGAGACAGTTCTCTGGCCGTGGTTCACAGGGAATCGAGTGTTACACTTGGTGATAAGACCTTCCTCCTCCCTTAGGATAAGACAATGAAATGGTGGGAAGCTCAGGCGGGGAGGTTCTCGCCATTTAAGTATAAATAAGAGCGAAGGATTAATTCAGTAGTTATTCGAAGTCCGGAGTTTTTAGTAATCGATACTTTATCAAAAATCTAACTCGTAATTATTCGAAGTCCGGAGTTTTGAGTAGTCGATACTCTATTGTCAAAATCTAAACTCGTAGTAAGAACTTTAAAACCGTATTTAACATTTGTAATCGAGTTTTCCGGAATAAAGGTAATTTTAATTTTGAAACTAATTTCATATCCAAAACCTTTTTAATTTCATCACTCCTAACTGTCGCTGCCAAACTGCGTGGCAACAGGAGATTTCCTATTATTCTTGTCGCTGCCAAAAGCG